GGGGGAAGGAGAGAAAGGTGACGGTAGGTAACTTCATCCTCAGTGTACACGGCTGTTACTATTACATAAGTTTACAGTTACAGCCATTTTTCCTTCTAAAACAATTTATACATGATAGGTGCATGAATATAGTACATAGCTTTCTCTTTCTCCAGGCTTCCACTAACCATTTCCTAATCATCAATACATGATATATTGAACTAGAATCTGCATTTGTTGCCATTTTTTTGTCCACAAGTTGCCACAAAAAGTGGCAAAAGTTGCCATAAAAGTGGCCAATAATGTTCAAGCTTTCAACTCTTGGTGACGACATAGCAATATGTTGAGAGAGGTAACTTAATCTATTAGTACAAGAAATTTCAATATGTTCTGTTTTAATAAGCATCCAGAATATCATTTGCAGCCACATATAATGTAAAAACGTGAAAAAGAAGGTTTCACAGCAGAATGAAATCAAAGTTAGAACAGCACATAAACAACTACAAAAATTAACAACTAAAATAAGGGTGTTTGTATATCTTTCCAAAGATCTCCATTGGCTTCCACTAAAAGCCAAAATTGAATATAAGTCAGCCCTACTATGCTTCAAAGGTCAAGCTAACCAGTCTCCCACATATATTCAAGAACTCATTGTACCATACGCACCATCACGTGAACTAAGATCCAGTGGCTCTAGACTAATTTCAACACCTCGTAAGAAATATTTTAATTAATGGACAGTACCTTTGCCTTTTTGTATGAGCATTTTTTATTGTCGGAAAGAATGTTGCGGTCAAAAAGTGCGCACATGTTTGTATGGTGTTAGTATGAATGCGTTTTTAATCTCCTATGTATGCCTTGGGCCCATGCTGTGGGGAAAGGTGGGATACAAATGCTCTTATTATTATTATTGGCGATTTTAACCCTAAACGTGTGTAATTTAAGAAAAAGTACAGGATTTTTTTGTTACTGTTTTGATGTGTTGTTTTTCTATTTTTTTGTGTTTGTGTAGCGTAATATAATTTAATTTGAGGTTGTTCCTACATTTTAAAAAAATAAAACGTTAATTTTGTAGTTGTTTGTATGCTGTTCTAATTTTGATTTCATTCTGTAAATTATGGAATCACACACAAGGGGCCTGCCAGTGTCAGTACTCGGTTTTGGTGGAGACACGCTCTAATATAACACATTATATTTATATTTTTGTAAAATGTAGGAACAACCTCAAATTAAATGATATTACGCTACATGAACACAAAAAAACCCAAAAAAAACAACACATCAAAACAGTAACAAAAAAAAACAAAACAACACATAAAAAAAAACAGTAACAAAAAAACTAACACACCGACAAATTAAAACACAACAAAAACGGAAAAGTAAAAGACAAACAGTAATATAGCATGTAATGTACCTACATTCTTAGCATGAAATTCAAAATACACGTATAATATGTAATGAAGTAGCCTTTTTTTTGTTGAAAAATGCCAAATCGCTGCCCTGATTCGTGGACCAAAAAATGCCAAAAATCGCGGCCGCGGGTCGAGGCCGCGACAAACGCAGATGCTAGATGGAAAAGAGTTTCTTATCAGTCAAGTACATTGGATAGTAGCCACCGTCACCTGCTGTCGGCAACATTTTGCATGAGGAAAATAACGGCATTTCTTATCTTATACACATCACACAAAGAGCAGCAGAGAACAAAATTAGTTCAGGTCTATGGGCATTCAGAAACTGTGGGAACAAAATGTCTTCAAACAGTCTTTGAGATTGACCTCAAAGTGAGAAGATTCCACAAGAGTGTTTACTGTTTATCTTATGAAACATGTTCACAATGGTAACTTTTATAGAACAAGCTTAGCTGAACTGAGAAGCAGTACATTCTAAAATTATTTCAGTCAGCACCGCAAGTTATTAATCTTTACCAAAGATAGTGAATAACAAGATGGGCCACTCAGCCAAAAAAGTGTCCGCAGGAAGTATGCTCTTTGCTTCAGATGGCGCTGCAGTCTGTTTTGAAGCTCTCTTTCATTTTTCCAGAAGAAGAATAAGAATAGCACCTCCTTGCGTGCGCAGATCGACTGCTGTTCATCAGCAGTTTGGGTACGTTCAGTGCGGAGTTTTAGTTTTTTTAAATATTTTAATGACCTCTCGCCTTTCATTCTAAAGTCAAATTAAACGAAGAAAACCATCACCCTTTCCTCCGGAAGAGGTTTTTTGTCAGCGTAACCATTTTAAAAAAGCGTTCTTCCGAAATTTATCCCAAAACTTGCTAGTTTCACTTTGATTTTTTTAAACTCAAGTAGGGTAACTCTGTTCGCAAAGAGTGCGCTTTTGTGAAGAGGGCGCCACCAAATTTTGAGGACACTTTTTTAATTGGCTCAAAGAGAGAAGTGGCCCATCTTGTTATGTACTATCATTGTCTTTACTAGAAGCTGTATACCACAGTTAGTGAACAAAAAAGATGAGCCGACTATTCACAAAAAGTACAAAAACCCATAGAAAACTAGAGTCTATGGGGCTTATTTTTGGTTTGATGCAAAAGAAAGATTAAAAAGTACTTCGGCAAAAATGAATGTTGAAGCACTCAACTGAGCTCTGTTTGCTTCAGCATGACATTAGCTTTCAGTGAAAGTTTTTATCTCTATGGCAAAATGGAGCAGTATTTTTAAAGTAAATCTTATAATGAAAAGTATTATAAATCTATGTGCACTAGTTGAAATGACTCCTATCCCACTTCTAATTTCACTCAATTATCTACACTAAATTAAAGAGCAGAAACAGCAAGAGGAAGTTGATCACAGCATTCTCTATTTTACTTTGTCATCGAGGGGAAGGTCCAAGGGTAGGGAGTTGTCACCAAACCACCTGTCGCATGGACTGAACTCAGGTCAGGGATTCATGCACATGCCATAGGTGTTATATAACAAGAAATGGAGACATAAAAGTAGCTAGTGAAGAGTAAAATGACTATGTCACAGTCATTGAACTATGAAGCCTTGAAATTCAACGGTCAAATGAACTTTAGAGGGTCGAAACTGGTAGCAAGAAATCCTGGCTACATCCACTTTTGCAAAACAAATTGTATTCTTGTTCACGACATGAACACTACATGCTTAAATCATTAAATTTTTAGACTTTAGTAACCTTTAGTTTGAAGACATACCAATATAAAACAGGTTTGCACCAGGCAAACATTATGGTTCGCTATACCAGTCAAAAATGCTATTAAAAGAAAATGTCTGATAAAAAATAAAAATTAAAACTTGTTGTGAGTAACTTTGGCCTACAATACAATGCAGGAGACATGACACATTATTTAAGTTGTTAGGTATACCCCATTCTCTTGACTTATTGATACTGTAACTAATAACAGAAATGTGGTTTCATAGAAGACTGCTGAGAATATCTTGGAAGGAAAAGAAATTAAATGAAGTACTCGAAAAAACCCATGTGGGCCTCTCGCTGAAGGTAAAACCATCAGGAAAAGACAGGTAGTTCTTGGGAAGCTTAATTAGACATAAGGGCCTTGAACATCTAGCTCTCACTGACAAAATTGAAGGCAGAACGAGGCAGGGGAAGGCCCAGAGCAACCTACTTGAAGAGCCTAAACAGATAGGGTGACAGGGAAAGATCAGGGTAATGTAGCTTTTTTGAGAGCATCTGAGCAAAGGAATGAATGGAGAACCATGATCGCCGATGTCTGTCACAGATTTGGCACTTGATGAGATGATTTTGTATTTCCCTCTCCTCCTTCTTTCTCTTCCATTTGAGTCCACAGGTGAGTTAACAAATTAGGTTCACAAGGAATGTCAAGTGATGTTTGTGCCGACAGCTCACAGTGCGTTCTTAAAGCAAGGGAAATAGCCCACTTGAACATTTATGTTCATACACACATAAATATGAGGAGTCCAACAATGCCACAATGATAATCTTACTTGTATTCCAAGAGAGCCATCCTTTCCTCACATTCATTTCAGATGGCGGGATTGCCTCTTCATACGTCAAAGGTTTTGTTCTGAACCTGGTCACTTTAGGAACTCCCGATTTTTTATTCTTGGCAAGGCAGGCTGTTGTAGACAGACCCCGAAATGCAACGTTCAACGATGACAAAGGAGCTGCCCTGTTTAAAACCTGGATAAAGAAGAAATGAGAGAAGAAAATGTTATACAGAGACTACAAAAGCTCGGAATCACAATTCTTCAGTAAAACCAAGAGAGACTGGTGCTTCCCTTTTGACGGGCTTTTAGGTCTTTTACTGTGTTGAAAGGACGAGAATAGAAAAAGACTTCTTCAAGGAGCTCTGACTGAGACAGTTTTGAAAATTAATGTCTAGTTATATTTTTCTCCATAATGTATGTTCTAATTCTAATGTCCTCATTCAACCAGGGTTGGGTTGATTTAAATCAGGTCGATTTAAATCAGTTGATTTTTTAAATTTAAATCAACTTCATTTTAAAAATAAAAATCAGTGATTTAAATCACTTTAAAAAAATTGTTTTCAGTTTTTACATATACAGTTGAACCTGCCTTAAAGGAAACCTGTATAAAATTGGAAACCTGTCTCTACGGAATCTCCACGCTCCCCCCTTGATATATTCCTCTTTAATTACCTTTATAAAACGGAAACCTGTCCAACGCAGAAACGGAAAGAAAAATCTGCTCCCTTCCGATGGTTTCACTTGTCTAAGACAGAAAATGCTTTGCCCGCTCAGCCCTGATTTGAAACAAAACTCACAAGTTTGGTACCGCCGGCTCTAAACTTTATGCGATGGCCATGCCGCTGGGCGAGGAAGGGGAGATGGGGTGCAATTTGGGGGTAGATGTTACCCCATCATGTGAGCCCTGCGCGATGCAGATGGTCAGTGTAGTGTGGGTGTGAAATCTCACGACTGCCCGTGAGAGTGCTCGAGTAACGAGCCACGACGGAAACTTTCCTGGGTAGCCAGAAGCCAGAGGTGTGAAATTAGATTGACCAATTCCTGCCGCCGTGATCGTACGGCCAGCCGAGAAAAGAGTTCCTCGAATCGTTGTTACAATGATGGCAGTGAGGGGTGGTATTGGTGGGTGGGGCTAAGGGTGGAAGCAAAGGAGATGTTCAAACGTTTCCATTTTTAATAGGTCAAACAGTGGTCCTATGAAAGGCAAGCACTGGTGGTAATTGGATTAGTAAGACAGACGCATGTCATTATCAGGCAGGATAGCAATTGAGAGGTGTTAAGTTTTGACCACTGCTTGCCGATCGTACAAGCAATCTTTCATCCCACCGGCTGGGCCTTTGAACCCCCCCCCCCCCAAACCTCCATCTCCCTCTAAATTCCCCTGTTTAAGACGGAAAATGTCTAAGACGGATTTTTCTTCTGTCTCCCTTGCGATTTCGTCTTACACAGGTTCGACTGTATTTAAACATACAGATATATATAAGATTTAGTAGACTAATATAATCATGCTTAAAAGTTTGCTTTCCCCCCTGTCACTGTAAAATAATACAGTATTCAATTTACTTTTTTTTTCATAATTGAAATTAGCATTTTAAAATATTTTTTTAGACAAACACAAGCACGTGCGCGCGCACACACACACACCCATCCACACACAGACTAAGGAAATGTCTAGATTTATTAACTGTAAACTTTATAATTTATTGAATGTCAGATCAAATCAACTGTGACTGAGGAGAATAAAAACATTAACAAATAAAAATCTAAACAATGTAATAAAAATAATAATTCAGATATTATTGCAAATTAACAAAATGGCAACTGAAGGAATTTTGAAAGTAAATCACTTTCATACAATATTAACGGTTTTACAATAAGCAACAATTTAGATCATGTTGAAATTACCCATGGAGTTGTTTGGGGTTGAAGGTTTTGAAAAGAAACACAATACAGTATTCAATTTCCTTTTTTTTTTCAAATAAATTGAAATTAGCATTTTTTTCCTTCGTTTTAGACAAACACAAGCGTGCACACACACACATTGTAATAATATGCAAGTTTATCTATGCATAATTACCCCCCTTCCTGTTAGACTGACATTTTCTTCATTTTTGTCTGTAACCATGAATAATTCACTATATATCAGATTAAGGCTTTCTTTTGCAGTTGCTTAAATTAATCATTAGTTAAAATAAATAAAACAATGCATTTTGCACTAAAAGAATATACTTTCAGTCACTAAAGATCTCAAACTGTGTTGACATTAAAAAACAAAAAAATTAAATGGATAATTAAAAATACGATTAAAATTTTTTTTAATCAATTAAAAAAAAATAAAAAATCACCAACCCTGCATTCAAACTGGTAATGAAACAGGCTAGGAATTAACGGGCTGGGATTCTTCATCATTATCTGAAGTTGAGACAGGTTTTCTGACAAGCAGGGCAAATGTTTTAAGTTTTTTTTTGGTAAGTGTTTTACGGCGCTCCCAAATGCATAAGTTGTAAGGTCATATGAGTGAGCGGGACATAACATTTTCAGTCGGTAGGAAATTTTGAATTTTGCCACGCTGACGGCCGAAACCTACTCTTATTAATTTTTGGACCACCAAGGCATCTTTAATTTGCACTACTTGCACTTGGGACCTCCGAGATTTTTCGTCTTTGTCCGAGAAGGCTAGGTGCAGATCTTTCCTACCATAAGATCAGGGATGTGGCTGAAAGACAGCAGTAAGAAGGAGTCAAGGAGTAGCCGTAGAAAGGCTGCAGAAAGAGTCAGGAGCTTAGAGGAGGGGGAAAAGGAGGTGAGGGGATGGGGGCAGAAAGTGGATACGAAAGCAGACGACAGAACATTGTTAGTAGAGAGCAGGAAAGGAGGTGAAAGGAGAACATTTTATAGAAGAAAATTTTCCGTCGCGATCCGGATTCAAACTCAAGACCTATTAAATGAGAGGTGAACACTTTAACCTCTAGACTACGAGAGCCCCTGGCAAATGATGTTTAAATATTCAAAATCAGAATTGTCAAGTATTCTTAAAAGTGATACTGTGGATTTTGGAAAGTATGAAACACTGGATGGTACGTGCCAGGCCAAGATAAAAAGAATAGAATGATCTCCGCCAAAATGCACGCCATACAAAGACATGCTCTGCTCAAACATAGGCAATAGTAATCACTAAAATATCCAGGAAATGAGATCAATGTGTGTCCTCCCCCCCCCTCTCCCCCCCATCCCTCCCTTTCAAATGTTCACATGAACGCATGCTCCATGTCAAGTGCACACTGTGGAGCCCTCCCGAGCACTGTGTGTTTTGGCAGAGACTACTGTACAGTCTAGCACGCGCATAGCAAAACACGCACATAGGGCCTATCAAAAACAGATTTTCAGGCCCTGATTGTTTTCTTACATTTTCTTTGTATCTGAAATACAGACATAACAAAATTATTTCCAGGTCACGTTGATTTTGCCTTTTGCCATGAGCATGCTAGACTCTTTTTATACAGTTAAAATAACTTTAACTCTCTTATTTTTTTTAAAGAGTTTACTAGATCTAGAACTATGGATGGGTGTGTCAAACACATTTGTCAACCCCTGACATGTCGAGATCCATGCTCAACTTAGAAAGTATTAGAAGAAGATTTAGTACTTCTCGCATTAAGCACCGTTCTTGACATATGTTAAATCTTATTCCCGATATAATAATAAGAGTGAGAAAAGTGGGAGGAATCAGAAGGGCAAGAGGACAAGCAATGATGGCAGCAATCCATTTATGAACTCATGTGACTTTGTAGGGCTCTAAACCATGGACTTTCTTAGACTCCGTGAATAAATCGTACTTGATGTTAATTTGTGAATTCTCAGATAAGAATATAACTTAATATAATACATACGACTTAAAAAATCTTGGCAGACAATGAGAGGATTGCGTTTGCTGTGATTTGAAGGGCAACAACAGGACAAAGTGTGACAAAAGGGCTCTTGTGGTTGAGAGGTTACGGTGTTCGCCTCTCGTTCAATAGGTCCCGAGTTTGAATCTGGACAGTGACGGAAAATTTTCTTCTGTAAAATTTTCTACATTCACCTCCTCTCCTGCTCTCAAACAATGTTCTGTTGTCGGCTTAAATGTCACCATTTTTGACCCCCACTCCCTCACCTCCGGTGCCCCCTCCTCTGGGCTCCTGACTCTACTCTTTCTGCAGCCTTTCTACTGTTGTTACTCCTTGACTCCTTTTTACTGCACCGTTTTTCAGCCACATCCCTGATCTTATTGTATGTAAGATCAAACACCTAGCCTTTTCGCAAAAGGGCAAAAAATCTCGGAAGTCTCGTGCGCCAGTTGCACACGTATGGAATAGATCCTTTGGTGGTCCAAAATCTATCAGAATATACAGTATTTAATCTACTTAAATCGATATGCTTTGGGAAGTGGATTTGATGTCGATAAATTAAAATATAAAGCCAAAGAGGAAAAACAAGGCGAAGTCTGCCGTAAAAAGACAACACTACTTTTTTAAGCTGGTTGCTTCCCTTGATTTTTACACAACTACACAGTGAAACTAACAAGAAGCAAAGGGGAGGCGGGGGTTGGAGTTACGGTACCACAGGCCGAGCAACGAGAGGCGCACACTACAGACCAGCGTAATCTTTGTTGTAGCATCCTTGTAAGGCCTGTATAACTGCTGGGGAAAATGGAAAGGCAAGGCACTGAATCACTGACCGTAGCACTTTCCAACGACAGACTGAGAATGGGATGGGGAAGGGGAGTGAGCGATCGAGAGCAGTGGGTAGGGAGGTAATGCCCAGCGCGCGAGACGCTCACGTCTGTGAGCAAGGCACTGTACTGTGTTGGAGACTACACTGTGTAGGCCCAACATGACCTACTAAAGCCTAGTGTGCCGAATGGGCAACTGTACTTGGCGGGTATGCGGACTGAATGAAGAACTAATACGTTGACCGTTAGCGTGGCTTATTCCCCCAATTATGTTCATGGGCTTCGCCAGGTACCCAGGAAGCATAACGATAAAGCAGAGTGGGCCGAAAAAAAGTCAATATAAGAGAAATTGTTTTGTGAATTTATTGAAGGAAAAATTTCGTCATTGGAAATTATGTCGATATGTCAAAATGTCGATACATCGGCTGTCAATATAAGTGGATTATACCGTGTATTAAGATCTAATCTTACTTCGGCCGCCACTGGGACAAACTTAAAAATTTCCTACCAATTGAAAATGTTTAAAGTGTCCCGCGCTCTCATATGACTACACCACACATTTGCGAGCGCCATAAAACACAAAAAAAAAGGTTGACAACGCAGCACTGGCACTGGCACTCTGTGGCTGTGGGAGAGTACAGTTGAATTTAGCCCCCAAATCAGGGTCCCCTTACGAAATGGTAGCCTACTTCACATACATGGCCCCAAAAGTATTGGGATAATACATTGTGAGACAATTTTCTGAAGGCAGGCGCTATTTGCAACGCCGCATTCTGAATAGCTCCCGTGCTATTTGTCACGCCGCGTTCTGAATAGCTCCTGTGCTATTTGTCACGCCGCGTTCTGAATAGCTCCCATGCTATTTGAAACGCCAGTACCAGATCTTGAAGCCATCGTTTCTACATCATAATATTGTAGTTCTGCCTGTATTATTTATAATGTGGAAGCTTTCTCAGTTTCTGAATAAACCTCCTATGATTTGACTCCTTTTTTTAAAGACGTCTTATTCTGATCAATATTGGGTAGATCTAGATTAGATCTAACAATTGTTTCTGACATTGTTTGCACAAAAGTAGACTAGACATACAGTCTCATAATCATTTGAGTTTGAGCAAGTAAGTCGAAAGACGCTTAGATAACAATAAAAAGACAGTGCCACTCGGCAAAAGCAGTATTTTCTGTCCGCAGTGTCGTCATACAATAGATCTACGAGTACCTAAAAATATGTTAGCCCTAGAGAACGTTACAAGCTGTCTACATTCTCTAAGTCTAATGCTCAGTGCTTCCAAGCATGGCATCGAATCCCGGTCCCCGAAGATTTTTTTTTTCTAAAAAAAACAAAAACAAATTAGACTCACAGACCAAGAAAGCCACTAACTTTAACCAGGCCTAAAATCCCTAAATTGGTCAAAAGAAAAGTATAGTAAGGCTATAGGCTACAGCCTACTTTGTACAGAGGTCCTCTTGGGACAAAACCAGAAAGTGCATTCTTCATCACTACATTAAAAAAAAACTACAAAGAAACAAGTTATAATCTATGGGAAAAATAATTTGTTGGTCAGTCGAGAAGAGGACACACAAAAAAACCCCCCCAAAAAACCTTCCACGACCGGGAATCAAACCCACGTTCACAAAATAAAGGTTTGGCTTCAAGCGCAGACGCGCTGTCCATTCGGCCATCAGAACCTCCGACAACAAAGCGCAAATTAGGCTGCTAAGCTTTATAATTTTAAGCACGGCGACATGGCGTTTTATTTAGCACTAGAATAGATCTAGATCTAGGGCTGATCGCGCAACGCGATCTATCTAGATCTAGATCAGATTCTATATATATCTAGATTTAGAAGTAAAGACTAACGTTACACAAGCCAGAAACAACACAACCTAGACTCTTGACCCCATCATAACATAATAATCTGGCTTTTAGACTTTTAGGCTAATCAAGATTTCTAGTCTAAGTCCCAAGGCATGTTTAAAGACAAGGAACAAGCATGCACCTGAGATATATTCCACATTTTTCTTTCTTGGCAGCTTATAAAGAGCGAAGACTGTAGATCTAGATCTAGTGCCACTTCCCGTCACGAAGTCGAAGTCAAAAGTTTGCCATTGCTTTGGTCACCTCTACGATGAATACGGTACGCTACGCAGCTAGCAGTGTGTGTGCTGCAAGATGTTGAAAGCAAAACCGGAAACACAAAACGCTGCCATTCGTTGGAAGTGCCACCTCTTGTTATTGGTCAGTTATATTTATCCAGCGAATGAAAATATTCCATGGAAAGTTTCACATAACGGAAGTACGTAATCTGGATGACGGCCATTTTTGTATCACTCTCTGGACTATTACACGTCTTTAGGGAAGACGGCATTCGTGACAGCGAATCATAAACTTGTAGTGGATTTTGCGGCGTCAAATAGTAAGTTGTAACCCATGTCAATGCTGCGGTGTGATTATATAAAGCTGAAGATGTTTGCACTTTCCGCTTATATTGCCTAGTTTTGATTGATCACTCGTCCACACCCAAAATATGTGTGTGTGTATAAAAACGGACAGAGATACGACCACTGCTGTCAAGTGACACATCATGATCAACATCCATGAATGGTTTTTAGATTCAAGGACTGCTCCCGTTTGGTTTATTGAAATCTATACCATTGACTGAATGGTGATATGGACATTCGGGGCTAGTAGGAGGGAGTGTAAGGCTGGATCTAGATCTAGATCAAGGACTTTTGAAAGTATTGGATGATGATGATTCTCACTTGAAAGTCAACTTAACTCTCCAACTCAAAGTTCATATTGGGCCTGGGGCAGTAGTGTAGACCCCAGTCTGACACTGCCTGATTGTAGTGTCAGTAGTGTGTAGTCAGATGGTAAGTCTAGATATCCAGATAGATCTACTGTGGGGCACTCCTGTACAATTGCGGTCCTGTTTAGGGATACAACTCATTTTGACCCCACCAACGATTACTTCTGGTTCTAAACAATTACCATTTGATGCGCGTGCCGATAGGCCTCTATGGAGAATAGCCAATCAGTCCTAATTGCAAATCATCAAATTATGGCCAAATTGAGGGGGGCGCAACCCCCCATGTTTTTTGTTAGGTGGTCAGGGGGGGGGGGGGCAAGACCCCCCTTGCCTTGTTAACTATATTAAAATGTGACATTTTTCTGTAGGAAGTGCCTATTTGCAAAGCTGCGTTGCGATTTACGCCAGTATTAATAAAATGCCGCGTTGCGATTAACGCCAGTGCTAAATAAAACGCCGTGTGTTAAATATAAGGAAGGGCCACCTCTATTCTCACCCGGGATGAGAATAGTGCAGGCTAGTCTTTTGGCTATTCTCACCCGGTGCGCGTTCACTGTTATAGCCTAGATCTAGGCCAACAAATTTTGCGTTCACCCTAAAACCACAGAATTCTACACTGTGATAACAGAAAAATTGTAGAATTCTGTGCCGTGAACAAACGTTCCATTACAACTGTAGCCTACTAAAAGCGTACACTTTTGTATGTGGGCAGTGGAGAGAGAGAAAGAGACAGAGAGAGGAGTAGCGTGAGAACTTCCGGTCAAAACAAAATGGCGACCTGCGTAGTTCTGCTCGATTCGAAAAGTTAAATAGCCGTAGCATCTTTGTAGACAACCAAATTAATGGAGGTATGGAAGTGGCTATTCTCATCCGGGGTGAGAATAGAAAAACGATTTACCTCTCACCCCGGGTGAGACTTGCCAGCGTAGGCTATTCTCACCCGGTGCGAAACAAGACCTGCTTTTCCTCATTTTGGAATACTGTCTATCGGTGTGGATGATCAAATTGATAAAAGCCAAGAAAAAATTACGTTATATAGCACAAAAGTAAGCTAATTTGATTGTCTTCAAAGATGCTATGGCTATTTCACTGTTCGAATCGAGCCGAACTACGCGGGTCGCCATTTTGTTTTGCCCGGAAGTTCTCGCAAGATCTACTCCTCCCCTCTCTCTCTCTCTCTGTCTCTTTCTGAATACTGTCTATCGGTGTGGGCGATCAAATTGACCAAAACAAAGTTAAAAAATGATGTTAAAACACAAAAGTAAATTAATTTGGTTGTCTACAAAGATGCTACGGCTATTAACTTTTCGAATCAAGCAGAACTACGCAGGTCGCCATTTTGTTTTGACCGGAAGTTCTCATGCTACTCCTCTCTCTGTCTCTTTCTCTCTCTCTCTCTCCACTGCCCACATACAAAATTGTACGCTTTTAGTAGGCTACAGTTGTAATGGAACGTTTGTTCACGGCACAGAATTCTACAATTTTTCTGTTATCACAGTGTAGAATTCTGTGGTTTAGGGTGAACGCAAAATTTGTTGGCCTAGATCCAGGCTATAACAGTGAACGCGCACCGGGTGAGAATAGCCAAAAGACTAGCCTGTACTATTCTCATCCCGGGTGAATTTACGCTTCGTTGTCGAAAAAAAATGATGTTATTTTAGCTCAAAAGTAGACTAATTTGGTTGTCTACAAAGATGCTACGGCTATTTCACTTTTCGAATTGAGCCGAACTACACCAGTCGCCATTTTGTTTTGCCCGGAAGTTCTGGCTACTCCTCTCTCTCTCTCGCTCTCTCTCTCTCTCTCTCTCTCTATCTCTCTCTTCTCTCTCTCTCTCAACTCAAGAGTGCTGGAACGTTTGTTCACATTGGTATCACAGTAAATGCACACCGGCTGAGAATAGAGGTGGCCTTATTATATGGCCTTACACTTGCCTTTTGTTTGTATTGTAATTGTAACACAGTCACCCCCTATAATCCTATATTATAGGTTATTTTTATACCTAGGCTGATTAAGTAGACTAGGTCTATTCATGTAATCACAAGGACATAAATTATAAATTCACTTAGTTTTCTTCTATTCCCACCCAGGTTGGAATACAATTTTCGATTCTCTCCCGAGGGGGGTAAAATATTTTGCCAATTTTTATGTTCCCACCATTTTTTCCCCGAAGTGATTATTCGGACTCGAGTCCGAATATGAAAAAATGTTATTCGGACTCTGATTCTTGTCCAGCATGACATCACTTCCAACTTCCTGTGACTCGTGACTCCGGCTTCCTGTCTTGCCTCACTCGTGACTCGCCTCAGGCTGGGTAGAGACCGGGATCACTTCGGGCTAATCTTATGATGAATTTGAGGCCGGCCTGAAAAGTTATAGCGCTTCTAATAAATGTTTATTTGTCAAGAGGTCATCAGAAGCAATTAAAGATGGCTCGTTAGCGTGTGTCGGGGTCGGATGGGCGACCTGCACACACGTGTGGCTGTGTGCGTGGGGGGGGGGGGGGGCACTATCGGTCCGGGCGTTGAACGTCGCATACGCGTCAGTCTTTTTCCCCTCGGCAACTGATCATTATTACAATAATAAGCTAGTCTTGACGTAGATCTACGTAATGAATTGTGCGCTGGTCTATGGAATCAAAAGTTGCCGTATGCTCAGCTCTACACAGCAACACAACTTTTTTTTTCTGGATAAACAGCTCATAATATGCAGTTGCCAGGTGGTCTGCTAATCTTCAATTTCACCTTTTTCTACAACAAAGAAAGTGGGAAACATGGGGGGGGGGGGGGGGGCGTATCAATGAGGCGGCGGGCATCGGATTGGCAGAAAAGGTGGGGGGGGCTAAAAAATGGCGGAAAATTGGAAGCACTGAACGTTAGAACTATAGAACGAAGGCACTTCCTTTTTTCCGGACCCGAGTCCGAATAACATTTTTTCATATTCGGACTTGAGTCCGAATAAAGAAAAAATGTTATTCGGGCTCGAGTCCGAATAACGACGGCCTTTTTTCCCCCGCCGACCGACCAACTATTTGTTTCCATAATTATTTGTTTTTCCAATTACCGATTTAGGCCTGGTTAAATTTAAATAGTGGCTTTACTTGGTGTGTGAATCTCATTCTTTTTTTTTCTTTTTAAATTGTTGACTCAGAAGGACCAAATTTTATCTCTTCAATTGCAAATTTTCTTCAGCTTCTGGGGGCCCTTGACCTGGTGGGATGCCAAAACCAGAGCACCACTTTACTTTTTAAAAAGCTCATTGCTGTTTCCAAAAGATAACTTTTTCAACACTTCTACATCATGTCATGTATACTTCGAGTTGAGGAAGTAAAGGCGGCCTGGAAAGGAACTGGCCACCCGACCCCAATATGCCGAAGGCCCAGGAAGTTGTCTCACTAACAAGGCAATCCCCAATGTCCGGATCGGATGCGGGAACAACTTTACTTTTACTACATATATAAATTCTGATAGTAATATACTTTAGACCAACATATGTCTATACTAAAAAAGAGGCACAAAAAGAGCATTTTGGAAATTTTGATGCTGAAACCTTTGAATTTGGTTTAAAAACATATTTTTTATACCGTCCAACCAGAATCCTGTCTCCATAGACAACTATTTATGACTACTTCTTGTGAGTAACGAGTAGTCTGACCCCTTTGATTACTTGGGGTGGGAGGGCGGTAGCCCACCCAATCTATACAGTGTAAAGTTAGAGAACCAACACAGGCTTACACCGAGATATGAGAAGCCTCGTGGAGAGATGTCACAATTTTAGATTTTTGAACTGAAAGAAGGGGAAATATAAAAACAACAACAGATGAATGAGTAAAAGGCGGAAGAAACGAATAGGTTTTGACACTGTATGTATACAAGATCGAATATATATCTTTGACAATGAATTTGCATCCCGATAATTACTCTTTTTAAAGTCTTCAATCAGGATAACTTGGATTTCAGAACGTAGCAAAGCACTATTTTTTTCTTTCAAAACTACATTCTTAAAAAAAAAATTAAGATAAAAATAAAGTAATTGGGAATTGTTAGTTTACGGAAAAAGGGATCGGTTCTTTTTCTCAAAGCAGTAATCTCGGGGATCGGTTCTAGAATCGATTCTTGGCCCACCAGTACTTTACACTTTACGCACATATCCTTGACCAGTACCAGTAGCTTGTCCATACTTCAAATATTCATACAAGCAAAAGTATGACACTTTATATTGACAAAACAATCTGTTTCCACTTCAGTAAAAAAAATGATACACTGAAAAATTATAAGTGTCCACCCACTGTACTTTGAATAGTATCCAACAATGAATGTTGTTTAACACCGTTGAAATGGCGGTAGCCGGGGTTAAATTTAGATTTCAACCCTTGGCAGTCTGTAAGTTAAAGAGTGGTTAATAATAATGTTATATTATGATTTTAGAATTTTTTATGAGGGGTTTTATCAGATGATACTGTGACTGTATAGAACTCTGTTGAAAAACAATGTGTTGGCTGTACTAAAATATGTTTTGTAACGTTTCACACTCTGTATTTTATTTTTTGTTTCTCTCTCTTTATACTGCCTTGCAAGGACTGTTAGTTATCTGGTCTGACATTAAAAAGTAGACGTTTATAATGTTTAATCTGTCTCTTTTTTTATTCCTTTAAAACAGATTCTGGTACTTAGTTTGCATGAACAGTCTACAAGGTTTTCAAGTTTTTTTTCTTTGGTAATAATTTTCTGATTTTGAATCCACAGGTTTTTTCAGCAACTGCAGGAAGCGTTAAAGAAGCAGCCATGTTTTTAATGGAATGGTTCTCGTCTATGCTGAATTTTTTAGGTATGGTAATTCAGGTTTTTGTAATCGTACAATATTTTTTGGGTCACGGTCATCATCATGTAGTAGGCCTATGGTAAATATTTTAGTATTCTTACTTTCCCTCCCGTCTCAACACTTAACTACCAGTTGTCTGTTTTCTATTATGGGCTGAGCCCGAATATCAACTTCATTTCCGTCACAAATTAATAGTTTTGAAATTTTTGATATATATATATATGGTTTTTAATTGAGGGATACCTCTCTAATCCTAACCGCGTAGTAAGTTTTGCTCCTTGGACTAGTCCAGGGTTTCAGGGAGGGGGGCACGCCCTCGTTTTAATACGTAATTGGATAATTTGCAGTTAGGTTTGAAATTTTCTTGAAAAATAATAATTATTGATGTGAGACAGTTTTAGCGACTTAATGTGTGATTTACAGCAAACAGTATCGGTATTGCAGTGCAATACGAAGCAGTGCATCTGTATGCGTGAGCGAAAGTAAAAATTTACCAATGCCAGTATTTCTTTGCTGCTGAAATTGATATTGTTTTTCACTCTAAAAGGTCTGTATTTTCTTGAAATTGAAAGTTTTTCTTATTATACAGAGATCACTTAAAGTGAAATTCAAGAAGTCTAATTGTCTTTGACTGATTCTGTTGGTTGTTTACAATGTTTCGCATTTTGGGAAAATGGTTCAAAATATAAATTGGTAATATGTCTATCACTGTATGAGCTATTTATCTTTTATTTAAAAAATGCCATGGGCTATATTAGAAAATAAAAGTCCAATGTTAACTTTTTTTGGTTACGATTGTCTTTTGTTATTGATTACCAGCATGTTTAAACTGGAACGATGTAATCTTACTCTGTTTTCTTCATTTCTTTATTGATTTTTGACTATGGATGAAATTCACACTAGGGTTTGGGAAGAAAGCTGGCAAGCTAATTTTGCTAGGCTTGGACAATGCTGGCAAAACTACTCTGTTGGGTGTCCTCAAGGAGGGTCACATTGTGCAGCCGGTGCCCACCCTGCACCCCAGTAAGTTAGTTTGTGGGTCTAAAACAATAAGCTGGCAGAGGGCCTATGTGTTGTGTGTGCATTTTGGCATGGACACTATAATTGGAGTGTTGGAAAACTACGCAGCACTGTTTCTGAAGGCCAGCTTTCAAGGATTGAACGGAAACTGACTGTTACTAACACAATGTGCTCCATCTTGATCCTGAATTGACTGACTATTTCCCCTCTCTTTTAGTTTGTAGTACGGATTTAACCAGCTATTCTTGGTACAGTGTGGATGTGCATGGGCGTGCAAACCATTTTATGCAAAGTTTTGCTCTCAACGTTTTTTTGGGGGGATGGGGAGGGGGATAAATTTGCTGAATGAAAGAAGTGTATGGAAAGCACCCCCTCCCCTGAGCATCCACACTGTTGTCAGTAAATACTTGTAGGTAAATGTTTTTCTCCCCTGCATGCTCACTGCTTTTTTTCTTTCTCTGTGCTTTTTTCACCCTCTGTGGCCAGGTTTATGGAAGAAATCGGGTAAATTAGTGTTCTTGGGCTTAGACAATGCGGGTAAAACAACACTGCTGCACAGACTCAAAGATGACAGAATGGCCCAGCATGTACCTACGCTGCATCCAAGTAAGTTGTTTTTCAGTGGAGATAAGTCATAGATCACTGGCGTTTGACCTAAACTTGCCTTGTCTTTTTGTTTCTAACCCTGAGAATTGCTTTGATTTGAAGAATGGCTTTTTTTAGTTGATGAATGTGACATTAATGAAACAGTTTAAAAAAAAGTTTAACTAACCAGTGACGTAGCCTTGTTCCTTATAAATTGAACATTTTCAGTGAAACTAACGTACGTTTCATGTCTGTGTTGCTCCTTGATTTTCACAAATGATCAGATACTGGTCAAGAATTAATATGAATGTTACTTATACAGTCTTTCTGTTATTATCTACACTGAATGACTCAGGCAGATTATTGTGAATATAACTATTGATAAAAAATGCAATTTAAATCTAACAGTGTGGTATAACATGCATGATAATTTGTGCTGATTAAGTTAATAGAAATTTAACCAAAGTATTGTGAATGGAAAATATTCGGAGAGTGGTCCTTGGCTTTAGCAGTGATTGCTGATTTGCTAAGTGATGTGAAAAAATTACTGACACTAGTGAGCGGGTCCCTTTGTTAAGACATGCTTTACATAACATTCACTTCGTGTGTGCTCATCAGACTCAAATGTGTAAAAACACGATTCAGAACTCCCCATGATTCATATTTTAATAATCTATTGATGCAGGTCATAGTTACTTTTTTTTTGGGGATGAACTTTGACAATGAGTGTGATAGTTGCACTTTTTAAAAACATTTGATAATGTAACAGTTTTTTAGTTTAATAAAATCTTTTTTTTTTAAATTCTACTGGCAGGCATATATTTGATTCAAAGTCAAAGAATGCTGGTGCTTAAATTTAATGGTTAGTTAATGGTTTAAATATATGTTATTCATTTTGATTAATTGTTCAGTTTGTAATCCTCCCTGCCTTGTAGACATTGACATTAGTCTAATGGTGATTAGTAAATATATCTATTTTTTAAATGTGAAATGACACCCTCTCGCTCACTCTCTGTCTCATCTTTACTCAGCATCGGAAGAGCTGTCCATGGGAGGAATGAAATTCACCACATTTGACTTAGGTGGCCACAGACAAGGTGAGTTTTGATTTTTAGAAGTTTTAGTAAGAGTTTTAAGGCATTTGCAACACAATTTCTTATAAAGTGTGAAAGATCAGAGGTACTGGGTGTTATAAGAGAGTAACGGGGAAAAGAAGGGGAGATATTGATGATATATGTTTAATTGGAAAGAAGGAGCAAACCGCACCAGGCCACCTGCCAACCACCCACAGGTGAATTTTAAGGGAAAAGTGTTTCTTTTGAACAGCTGAAGGAGCATGCTTAGTGTTGATGAGAAAGAGACCATACGAATGTTCATGTCTTTCTTCTGAGAAACAAGCGTGGAAATGCCAGTTATAGTTTGAAAGTTGATTTCCAAGTTATTGGTTTTTTTCTCATCTTGCTATTCAATAATGGATTAAAACTAAAGCTGTGCTTTCTGGTACGAAGTTAACTCGAAAGGCGAGGGTTCCTATGTTTCTCCTTATATGTTAATAATGTTTTGAACCATGGTTGATTTCACAACGGTATCGATTCTAATGAACAAAGTCTTTAATACTTTGAATAGTTTTTGCACAGTGGAATTTGATCAACTACATTACTATTGGAATGACAGTGTCAAGCTCCTTTTTTTAGAATTTAGAATTCTCTAGACCTCTACAGCTCATAAGAAAACATTAAGTAGAAGAGAGATGGTTTTGTTGTTTTTTTTTGTGGGGGGGGGGGGGGGGAAGGAGTGATTTAACTGTTCCAAACTTAACCTGTGAGTTTGAAGTTGCAAAATTGTGGGATTCCCATGTAGGGTTTGAGTAGGCACTTCAGTGAAATTTTCAAACTTCTCCGGGGGCATTAAAATTTGGATTATTGAAAAGAGCTTGGCTTTCTGTTTTCAGAGCTTTTTAAATTTTTGCGCTATCTTTGTTAGTTTAGAAGCAGCGACCGTTTTTGTGAATCAATTTTCGCCCTGATTTGGCCAAATTTTTTAACTGCATTTTGTGCCACCAAAACTCGAAATTTTGCTTCACAAAGTCATAAAATCCTTAATAATAGTTGTATCGTGACCATTGAGGTATCATTTTGTTTGCTGTTTTATGTAGAATCAATATATAAAAATAAAAGTCAAGTACATTAGGAGTAAAATTTTATTTACCGTTTAATTACGTCATAATCGTGACGTCGGGAGTCCAATGCCTATTTTCCCAAAAAAGATACGGGCACACTTTCCATACTAATGGTCCGATTTTCAAAAGAAAAACATCACTCATTTTGTTTTAAAGAGTTCTGTAACTTGCTATAGGGGAAAATGATTAAAATTGAAAGCAGTTTCAATCTTACAGGCATAACTCAAGCAGGAGGTTGACGGGTGCTCTGGGGTGTGGTTTGTTCTTTTTTTCCTTATTAACAATCAACGGTCCTTATCTCTCCTCGTTCTTTTCTGTGTATGTTACTCTCTTGTAACACCTCTAGTCTTCGGGGCTTATAAGACCTATTTGTGTTGCAAGTGCCGTTAAACCCAAGCACAAGCATAACGCAGACTTGAAGAATATGAAAAAAATTCAACGAGTATGGTATAAAGCGGGAAATCACCATAGCATTATGACAATTACTGGGGGTCATCAATATATATATATAATATATATATATATATATATATATATATATATATTATATATAAATATATATATATATATACACACACCATGCAATGGCTCATATCCCGAAGAACAGCGACACCAGTTCTATGATCTACTGAGTGAATTTTTAAACATCGTGGATGACAAAGATAATGTGACAATGATGGGGGACTTAAACGGCAGAGTGGAAACAAGGAAGACGACGTGGAAGACATACATGCGGCCACACAGTGACAGGGATACAGATCAAAACAGCAATGGAGAAATGCTATTACATTTGTGTGCAGAACATGAGCTCGTCATATCAAATACCTTCTTCCAACACAAAAGGAGTCAAGTTAAAGAAAGAAAATCTGGATCGGTACTAACAATAGACCTAAGAAACTATATCAAACAAATAATTGCATCAGAAACTTAAATAGGCGTTTCTATTTAATTTTTGACTGTGTTAACAACACTAGTCGGGACTCTTCATACTAGATCTAGGCCCTAGGCCTACGCACGCAATGAAAGGCTTTGGGCAGGGGAAAAAAGGAGGGAGGGGCAGCTCTGTGAAAAGGAAATACTTGGGTCTAAAAAGTCTCGTTTTCTTTATACTATCGAATGAACTAAGGCACAATGTGAGGTCAGTGATTATAAAACATTACCAAAATTGATTAACTTTTTGAACTAAAGTTTAAAAATCTCTTGGCGATGTATTTCCCTGTCTCGTACATTTCAAACAATGAAGAGAGGGAGCCAAAAGCTGAAGGCGAAAATGTGTGACGTCACGACTCTGCGCGATGTCGCGGTGGAAGGGTTCAGCTAGGTTTTCGCGGATTTGGTTGATAAAAGGGTAAGACTACACTAGCCAAGGTAAGACTTCTACGATAACCATTTAAACGTTTTCTGGAAGAACAAAGAATGGTTTACCAACAAGGGTAGTTTGGAAAAAATATGACGAGAAAATTTATCAAAAATCTATGGTTTAAAAATTGTCTATTTTTCAACTTCAAATATTTCGAGACTCATTAGTCGCACATCGACCTGGAAAGAAGCGTTTTGAAGGCCATCCACAGGTCTTTAAAGACATGTATCGGACTTGAATGTTGGTCCCCTAAATTAAACAAAAATATGGGCAGTTTGAACCCACTGTCGCGATGAGACGTCATGTCCGGAAACAAAACCCTATGGGACTTTCCGAAGCCAAATGACGCCATAGTGAGCGCGTTCACTGAAGTGCCTAGTTTGAGAGAACCTATTAAAAGTTTGATAAAAGATGGTGCTTTCGTCCTATGTTATCAGTTTTGGTCCTCGAATAATTAATTGTAAGAACTTATGGTTAGTTACACCCCTCTGTCATTTTAATAGCTTTGCATTCTTATGCCTTCTGATAATTTTTTGTTGTTCTTTGTTTGTTTGTTCTTACAGCACGTAGAGTATGGAAGGATTATTTCCCAGCTGTGGATGGTATAGTTTTCCTCATTGACTGTCATGACAGAGCCAGATTTGTTGAAGCCAAGGCGGAATTAGACGTGAGTGCCCATGATACACTTCTGTTGTTGTTCCTCACTCCTGTTGTTATAGAAAGAGTGTATTTGGTGTCAAGTTCGTAACGAAACACCAGTCCACAAAATCGAGTCCAAACCACTTATTCAGGTTTCTATTGAAAATAATAAGTCGCTTGTAGCTTGTAAAAACTTTTGTTGCCAGCTTGTTTTGATACAGTTCTTTGCCAAGTACGAGACAGTTTTGTTGTTTTGCCACTGCAAATCATACTACTAGAAAATATTTTTTTAAAGAAGAACAGGGCTGAATGAAATTAATCATGTTGTGAATGTGCAGTGTCTTTGAGTGTGGCATTGATTTACGATGGGATTTTGTGGAGGGTTTAGGTGAAGAATCAGCTGTGATCGAGTTTTCGAACGTTAGATTCAGGAATAGAACTTGTTGTTATAAAATATTTTGTATGCTTACAAAAATTAAAGCTTGAAAAATTATGTGGCAATGGAGTCTTCTATAGTACTAGAAAAACTAAAAGCCTAATTTACGAGGACTTCTTAGTGTGGAGGGATGATTTTAAAATGTTCATTTTTTCTCCTACATCACCTTTTTGTCTTCAGGGCATGATTTTGAAGCTAATTCGGTGCTGTATTCATTTTACTTAGATTTTATTTTGTTGGTGACATTTTTCTATGTAAAGTTAACTCACTGACTACTGGCCCCTTTCACAAATCACTAGTGCAGAGTACTGTCATTTTTGGGGGTATTTCAAAACACAACCACAACTATCAGAATTACCCTATTGTAATTATTTTTTGACACAGTAAAGTAACTTTCAAACTTAATCTATTGCAAAAAATTTAAGTTCTCTAGGTCTAATACTTTTACTTTAATTCTTTTGATTGTTTCAAAATTGGAATGAATTTGATTTTTCGAAAAATTTCCAGAAACATGACAGATAGAAGGAAATTCACAACAACAAAAATTAAAGTTCAAAGTGTTCTGTTTTGATTTGTATTCATGTGTGAGTGTTTGGTGAAAATATAAAAGCTGGTCTGTGCGTTTATTCAGACCCATATACTGAATTACATGAGACAGATGGAGGGAACGAAGTTGTGATTTCGTCGCGTGAACAACAACAACAATACTAGTGCTAGATCTAGCCCTAAAACTACGACTCGGGCCGTGTTCGGGTACATATCCAGGGTCCTAACTATCAGACATATCATGTCCTGAGTCACTAGAACAAGCAAAACGTGCAAAAGTATCGAAAACAGCGAAATTATGTGATTCTTGTTCATGCGACCGTAACTTCAACACGATTGTCGGATTACTATCATTTGTATAGAAAAAACATAGCGCGAATTCCGGTCAGGTCAACCCCAGATGAGGTGACTGTCCTTAACCTTCAATTGCTTAAAAAGTTACCATGAAACTTCCGCCAAACTCGGCACGAAACGTAACAAGAGGCAAAACTAGCACCGGAGTCCGTTCCCTTACATGTGTCGGGAGTTGGGAGCACAAGATACGGAACAAAACCGCAAAGTCAACCCATGACGGGATCCGTAGTATGTGAGTTAAATCTGTAATGTAGATGCCTCAGTGCCTGATCTAGAGGCTTCACCTACCTTCTTCTCTGTAAAAGAAAACCATTTCTATAAATATTCAGGAGGCCAGAAATTAGGTTTATTTATCCCTTGTTGTGCCATTAGTGAATCTTTGAACAGATTTTACAGTGCTGCCCAAGAGTGTTATTGTAATTATAAAAAATTATGAGCATATCTCCTCTCTCTCATTCTCTTTTTCTCTCTCTCTCTCTCATTCTCTTTTTCTCTCTCTCTCTCTCTCTCTCTCTCTCTCTCTCTCTCTCTCTCTCTCTCTCTCTCTCTCTCTCTCTCTCTCTCTCTCTCTCCTTTCTCTCTCCCCCCCCCCTCTCTCTCTCTCCCCCCCCCCTCTCTCTCTCTCTCTCTCTCTCTCTCTCTCTCTCTCTCTCTCTCTCTCTCTCTCTCTCTGTCTCTCTCCCCATGTCTTTTTTTCTTTTGTTATAAGAAATGAATTAGATGTATGTGAAATTATCCTTGCACGACATGTTTCCCTCTTGTTTGTGGCCCTACAGAGTTTACTAACAGACGAACAAGTAGCCAACGCCCCAGTGTTGATACTGGGCAACAAGATTGACATGCCAGGTGCTGCCAGCGAGGAAGAGATCAGGCACTGGTTTGGCCTGCACAACTTGACCACAGGGAGGGTAAGACACTTTTACTTGCATACTTACATTCTTTTTGTTTATTAAACTGTGGAAGTATAATGGAGAACCTGTGTACCATGGTTATTATACGTGTAACAACGCGGTGGAATCAGGCGCTTGCCAATTTTTGGGTGTTTAGAGTTATTGTTATCATCTTAACTCATTGACGACGCAAGTTTTTCACCAAAAATTTCCCTTGAGACGCACGATTCTTACCTATTTTTTAAAAAAGTCAGTGTGATAAACCTATCAACTGTACAGGTATAAAAGTTGACACAAAGTAAGATCATCATGTATACTTACATAAAATGTATTTATTTGTACAAAAACTTTGAAAAAATTATGTTTTAGGTGAAAAAAAAAATTATATGTAAACGTGGAAAAAAACTTTTTTTTATGAGCTAAGCACATGGATCTCAGAATTGATCGTAGTGAATTAGAATGGTTTCAAACAATTAATACTGAGTGATATTATCTATAAGAATAGTGACATTGCCAGGAGCATTGTAGTCTCCTGAATCAATAATCCCTAGCGCTTCGTTGGTTTCTTGTTTACGTAAAAAGTAGGTCAGGTCAGGGTGTTTCGGCAGATTGCTTATAGCTGACAATTTGGGTGACCAATGGTCGAAGGGATACAACCACGATAAAGTTAAATGGTTTAACTAACACTGGGAGTCATTCCCCTTTAGATTCTTCAGAGTTTGTTGACCTCGCCAGGACCCGGCACGTCGTCAATGAGTTAAAGGTTTTTTTTGTCTTGCTTTTGATGAAAAAATACCCGCCTTTCTTGAATAGAAGTCAGGATATTTGGAATTACAAAAAGTGGGGGTCTATTGGTTTCAGAGGTAAAGTTAGTGAGAAAATGGCTGTCAAATATTGGTGACCTCTTTAGTTTGAGACTTATAGTCAACGTTTTTTTTTTATAGTAACATCCACACAGAAATGTGTTTTTGAATAGACATGAAAGGTATCGAGTCAAAAGATAAAAACTAGATACAAATTTCCAAACCAGTAAAAAAAATGCTGGTTTCTACGATTTTATTATTTTGACGAGGGCCTGATTTCACCATGATGCCGTACATATTTTATTGAGGGATTCCAAGCATTTCTGGACAGATTTATTGCTGGTTTTTTAGTCTTTTGAATGTTTTTCGATGATGGGCAAAAATACAAATAAGAAAAGAACTGAAGGGGTGTTGTGTTGGGCTGTTGTTCTATATGTAATAAGCTATTTTGTAGGTCTGTCATATCCCTTTTATATTGGTTTTACTTGTCACATTATTTTTTTGGTTGTATTCGGCTGTTGTATAATTGTCATGGTCTCTCTTTTCCTTCTCCTGGGGTACTTTGAAATTGATGTGATTTTGGAAGGTCTTTTTTCTTTCTTGTCTGTATGTTTTTTTCTCGGTGATCCTTTTCGTTTTTTCATGTACAATGTATCGTTATCGTTCAGGTCAATCTTTTTTCTTTCAAATCCCCCTGTGCGCTTTCTCTCCATTCATCAAAGTATTTGTGACTGGAGACTGGAGGGTTCCAATGTATTATTTTTTTTTAGAGAAATTTTTCTTCAGTTGTTTCAGTTTCAGGGGTGGTTTGCAGGTGCTCTGGTGTGATTTGCTCCTTCTTTCCTTTCAAGCATTTACCATCCTGATCTCTCCTCCTCCTTTTTTTGTGGGTGGTTGGCAGGTGCTCTCGTGTGGTTTTCTTCTTCTTTCCTATCAAACATTTATTGTCCTTATTTCCCCTCCTCCTTTTTTGTGTTTATTACTTTCTTGTAACACCTCTAATCTTCGGCACTTATATGACCTTATTGTGTTGCAAGTGCCGTAAAACACTTACTAAAACTAAAACTAAACTTTTTTTTCTGTGTTTGTTACTCTCTTGCAACACCTCTAATCTTCAGCACTTACTTTAATGATCTTATTTTGTTGTAAGTGCTGTAAAATTTACTAAAACTAAACAGCTGAGACGAAAATTAGTGTGCTCGATATGTCATACCACTGATCAGTTTTATTATGACCAACAACCCATTTGTAATGTGTTGGTGGTTGGTGGGTGCTTTGATGTGTTTTTTTTCTTTTTTTTTGTGTGTGTTGGTTAATCCCTTGCAACACCTCTAGTCTTCGGGACTTATATGATCTAAATGTGTTGCAAGTGCCGTAAAACTCTTACTAAAACTAAGCTAAACAACTGAGACGGAAATTAGTATGCCCGATAGGTCATACCACTGATCGGTTTATGATGAAATGGTGTCATCTTATTAAGGCCTAACAGCCCATTTGTAATGCCTCAATCTCTCTCTCTTCCCCAGGGCACAGTTTCAAGAAGCGAACTGCCCGGCCGGCCCATGGAGCTGTTCATGTGCAGTGTGCTCAAGCGACAGGGCTATGGGGAGGGCTTCCGCTGGCTGGCACAGTACATCAACTAGTGGCTGCACACCTCACCAGAGGAGGGGAGAGGGCGGGGTGGGGTGGGGGGGGGGGGGCAGGGCAGAGGGTGGGAAGATGGTTGGGGAGAGCGTTGGAGAGACGAACCGAGTGTGGTAGCGGTTGAAAGGAGAACTAAATAACTGCAAGTCTGGGTATCAGATAGTTTTGTGTTGTGTGTTTTGTTTTTTTTCTTCCCGCTCCTCCGGATGTATGAGTTCCTACGTCTTGACCTTTTGGTCGGGTAAATTGTAATTGTGTGTATGGAAGTCGGTATGGAGGTGGGTTGTAAAGTGAGAGTAGTGAGTGTTGATTTTTTTTTTTCCTTGTGAGAAAAACAGAAAAAGAAAACAGATTCCTTTTCTTCGTATGAGAAGATATAACTCCCTTCCATTAGCTTTCAGCCTAAAGTTTGTGTGTATATCTGTGATTGCTTTTCCCAGTCTTTTTTTTTGTTGTTGCTATCTAATATTCTTTTAGCATTTGAATTTAGGAAGACCGTTGTCCCTTGTATTTTGGATATATATATGTTTCTTTTTTTCATTAGCATTTTACTTTCATGTTCCCATTTGTGGCCTTGTTTGACAGAGTAGGGTGATGTAGCAAGCATTTTCATCCTAACTTGACGATGAAATTGGAAATTTTGTCTCTTTCTTTTTTTTTTAAGGACGCTCACTATGTTGCATGGGAAAAAATTAATGGGGCTGGGGTTTTTTTTTTCTTGTTTTAGTTCAGTAGTTAAAATGCAAAAATTAATTTGGGAGCAGTGAAAGAGCATAGCACATTTTATATGTCTCTATCTATATTTGTATATGTATCATTTGTATATGATGAAATTAACATGGCATCTCATCTCATCATAAATAAACAGCAACGGTATGCCATCATTTTCATCGAACATAGCAGAATAATAAAGAAAGTTGAATTTTCTGTCCCTGTGTCTGTTGGTCTGGTGGCTGAGGTCCTTGCACTAGTGTAGTGTCGGAGAGGCTGTTACTGTTAGCATTCTAACAACTGGAAAAAAAAGTTATGTGGAGAACTGGTCAAGGCTTTCCGTAGACGTTGCGTTGTATTGTACGTGGGGTCCAGTGTTTCCTAAACGGGATGCTGGGGGGTTGTCGTTGGTTGTGAGATGGCGGATAATTACTGAACCACAGTTTGTGTTTCTGCTTCGTCTATGTGTGCGTAAAGCTGTTGGCGCTGATTCCGGGGTTCTGTAAGTGCCTCGGTTTGTGAAAGATATTGGGCACAGAAGTTCGTTAAAAGTTGATGAAGGCCAGAGAAATAGAAAATATGGGCAGATATTTTGACAAATGCTCAAATTTTGTGAGTGGATTTATTAAGAAATCTGAAATCTTCACATGATGTTGATAGATATTGTTTGCTGAGGACTTGATGCTCGACATAGGATGCTTCAAGCTCTTTCGTGCCAAAGAAACTTTCAAAGAGAATTTTGTCTTTTTTTTTTCATTGGAAAAAAAAAAGTTATGTTTAGCAATGTGTAAAAACTGAAATTAAACATGATTTGGAAAAATGGATTTTGTGTAACTTGCATTCTGTTTCTAACCCAGAGAGACTGTCAAATAACCATTTTATCCACAACCTGAAAATGGGTTAATGATGCACTGTCAAAGTACATGTGCATGTGACGTTAGGTTGGTGATGTAGCTCGGCAGACTTGTAGTTAAGCTCACATAATGTGATGGGTGCCTCAGAGAGAGACTTTCTCACGATGCTGCTGATAGAAAGTAGGAGAATTTGAAAAAGTGTAGTTTTGATCGAGAATGGTCATCTTGCAACTTTCACTCTCAGAGCTACTGCTTCATATATATATATATTATATACACTTTTGTAGAGGCTACTTCTCATCAGTTTTGTATCTTCAGCCCTTCTTCTTATTGTCAGGGTTAACCAGAACTTTATCCATCTCATTGGTTTTGGTCTGCGTGTTTTATGACAGTATTTTTGATAAAATTTGGTTGATTTGCTTGTTGCATTTGGGACAAGATTTCGCACATATTGTACATCTGTGTACAGGCCTGCGTGGCTTTGTTGTGTGTGTATAAAGTAGTAAGATGCAGGGAAATGTGGATAATGTATGAGAGAGAAAGAGAGATGAGTGTCACTGTATGCAGAAGATTGTGAAAACCAGATCACTTGGATGTTGCTCGTTTTGATGGAAGTTTGTGGCTTGGTTTCTTGATTTTGTCTCTCTTTCTGTTTTGCTGTGGTCCTGAATGATTGCTCTACTGTGGAAGTTGCCAGACTGGTGGGGAACCTGTAAAGTTGTGCTCATTTTTTGGTTGTTTTAAAAAAAATATATAATACTGACAGACAACACTCTATTGTTAACACATGTCTGAATTCTTCAAAGCTTGAGTGGGTTCTGCCTACCTGAAAAGAGGTCACCAGGATCTGGTGTAGTGGTTAGGCTCTTCACGATGCCACACAAGACCCGAGTCAGATTCCTGTGTTGGGTGAATTTTTTATCGAGTATGTTGGTCTGTCTACTGGGATGTTGTAATTGTATCCCTCTCACTCTCAGCTCAGGTTGGCCCCAAGAGGTAGGGTCCAGCCCGCCTCCTAAATGATCTAAATTGTGTTGATGGGGCTGACATAAAAATATTAAAATAAGAAAAGAGGTCACGTTCCTATCAGCTTCAGTGTAAAACAGTCTGGTTGTGTGTGTTGTTGTTTTTTGGTGGGTTTTTTTTTTACCTTGAGATTGGTGCTCTAACTCTAATGTGAGTTTGTAGAGAGTTGAGAAGTTGACAGGACAGGCAAGTGTGTTGGAACAGGGTTGTCTTCTACTTCTGTCGTACTTTGCCGTTTAACTGTAAGTTGTAAGTTCGGACTGGAAGAAGACACTTGGTTGTTTTGTGCTTTTGATGGTGGGTGGTGTGTTATTATTTTATTCTTAAATTACATTTACTACTTGATCGTCCTGCTGTCAGGACTCTTCTGTGCCACTTGATTAGCTCTAAGTCTTCTTGACTGTGTTTTTTAAAAAGATATTTTGGACTCCTATTGCTCTTGTTCATGATGATACCAACTTATTCAAACAGTGTTTTAAAAATTATTTAAACTTTTTTGGTTCATTTTTTAAAGTTTTTCTTTTTGATGAACATGATCTTTGTTTTATAATCAAGGGAAGGGGACTTTTGCTCGGGAATAGTGCCACAGCAGAGGAATCTTGAGGACTTTTTCTCTGTGGTGATCAATTTTCTGGAGTCACATTGGCATGGTTGACACGAGTCCGGCAAAACTGCATCTTTGCTCTTTAATTTGGTTTATATTATTTATAATGAGGTTTCATCCTTCCTGAATTATTTTTTCTTTTGATCAGGTGTGGCTTTCTTGTGTGGCCACTGGCATATTTGTATGCAGGTTGGGTTTTATTTTAATGACTGTTGTTTGTTCTCATAAAAGCTTAACAAAAAGTTGAAAATCGTTTTAGATTACATTTAGGTTAACAATTTTGTCCTGTTGTCTCTAAAAAGTTCATGCAATCAAATGTTGACGGCTTGTTTATTTTCGTCCAAATGCTCGCCTCTTTTTTTTGCTGCTTTGCAGCCAGTGTTAACAGTCACATCTTCTTTTTTTCCTTCACTTAAATATGTCAGTATTTCTTTCCTGTTCTATGTGGTCCTTTAGTGGAGAAGGTTTAATTACCCTTTCTCTATCTGCTAAGGATGAAATCTTTGTCTTTGGGGTTGTTTTTTTACCCAGATCTTTCTTCTGCTTTTTTTTTTTCAATTCCTCTCACCTTTTATCAGACAAAAGAGAGAGAGGCTGACTTGTCACCCGGTTTTTTCTGAGAGACAGAAATGTGTGTACATGAATATGATGTGATCTAGATGCGCTCGTTTTCTTATCTTTTTTTTGCTCGAAAAGTGGTGTGGTTCCTGATCTAATATGAAGAAGAAAAAATAAAGATCAAACTCTTTCTGATAGTGATACAGTACATGTAGTTTGGTTGAGAATGTTTGCTTGACAAATGCTTTCTGACATAGCACCATTGAGAGCCCTGCAAGAAATGTTGCACATATTATATATTATATAAATCTATCACGTTTCTCATGTTATCTAATTTTTCTTCTTTTGATGCGGAAGATCTTATTATTCTAATTCAACAACAGCAGAATCTGCAAAACAAGGAGATGAACTAACTAAAAGGGCTGTAAAATTTCATAGAATGACTCGCTGATATTGTGTCGCGTTACTTTTTTTTCTTCTGCAAGAGAAAATAAAAAAACACATGAACATGTATTCAAAAAGTAAACTCGCCTGACGTTTTTTTTTGGTTTTGTTTACTTGTTGTGGAAGCTAGGCGTTATAAGCTGGTTGATAGGTGCTCTGGTGTGGTATGCTTCTTCTTTCCTATGATACATCTATGATTTTCTATCGTCCTTGTCTTCCGTTCTTCTTTTTTGTTTGTTACTCTCTTGTAATACCTCTAATCTTCTGGCGCTCATATGACCTTATGCAGTTGCGAGTGCCGTAAAACTCTTACTAAAACTAACTAAAACATCTATCGACCTGATCTCCTGTTCTTTTTTGTTTGTTACTCTCTGGTAATACCTCTAGTCTAGTCTTCTGGCGCTCATATGACCTTGTGCAGTTGCGAGCGCTGTAAAACCTTTACTAAAACTAAAACTAAACTAGCCTGTATGTCATAGTATAGTATAAGTGTGCTGGACTGGTTGATGTGGTGTAGCAGTTATAAATTATAAGCACTTTTCTGTCACATGCAGAAGGCCTGAGTTCGTTTCCCATGTGGGAAGAATTTTTATCGAGTATTTTGGTCTTTCTACTGGGACTGGGATATTGTATCCCTCTCAGTCTCAGCCCGGGTTGGTCCTGACAGGCAGGTGTAAAGCCCGCCTCCTAAATGATCTAAATTGTGCCTGATTGGGGGCTTAAAACATCTATCTGTGGAGAAAATAATTGGTCGCTTTTAAGCACAAGGGGGCTATCCCAAAAAATCAAAGGTAAAATTTTTGCCCTCTTGTTCTGTTTCTTTAAAAGACAAGGAGAGTTTTCTCTGTAGCTAAACAATATACACACCAATAAAACCAAACTTCTCCTATAGGAAGGGCAATACCCACTTTTGGTGTTGGTCAAGATTTCTGGAAACCGCCGAAATCTGGGTTAGCCCACGTGTCCTTAAAAGCGACCAAATGCCGTACGGTTCTGTTTAATTTGTATTGTCAGTTCTGCAGGATTGTTCACCAGCGATCTTGACCTTGTGTTATGGTTGGGTTTTCACCTTTTTTTGGTTTTTGTTAAGTGTTTTACGGCGCTCGGAACTGCATAAGGTCATATATGAGCGCGCGGGACGCACGACATTTCTAATTGGTAGGAAATTTTGAATTTTGCCCTGGTGGCGGCCGAAGCCTACTCATGGATTTTGGACCACCAAGGGATTTTTAACGTGCGCAACTTATACACGGGACCTCCGAGATTTTTCGCCGTTGTCCGAGAAGGCTAGGTGTAGATCTCTCCTACCAGAAGATCAGGGGTATGCCTGAAAGATAGCAGTAAGAAGGAGCCAAGGAGTAGCAGTAGAAAGGCTGCAGAAAGAGTCAGGAGCCCACTAGAGGGGGCAAAGGAGGTGAGGGGGAAGGGGAAGAAAGTGGAGACGAAAGAATATTGCAAGAGAGATGAAATGAAGGTGAAAGGAGACAATTTTAGAGAAGAAAATGTTTCGGTCGCTACCCGGAATATAACCCGGGACCTTTGAATGAGAGGCCAACACCTTAACCTCTAGGCCACGAGAGCCCCCCGTTTGCTCCTTTGTATGAGAGGACACCGGTCTAATTCCCATGTGGGGAAGTTTATTTTTGAAAAAAAATTATCTGCAAGGTTGCTGTACCCCACTTGTCACAGTTTGAGCGTTACAGGCAGGCAGGGTCGAAGCAGCCTGCCTCCTAAATTATGAAAATTGTGTTGATGTGTAGATCTATAAACATTTCCTGAACTGCAACGGGGAACTACTGCTTTTTCTTTCCTAACCCTTACTATCGTCATTTTTCCTCTACTTCTTTTGTATTTGTCTCACTCTTGTGACCCGCTATTTCCGGGGTGCCTTGATTGATATAGTCGAAGTAGACGTTGTGCTGTTGAAGCTAGAGGGGTGAGCAGAGTAAGTCTGATTTCCTGTATGGACTTCTCTGTTGACATCCACTCCCTGGCGCAGATATGACCTTATTCAGTTGCGAGTGCAGTGTAAGAAAAAAAAAACCCTTCTGAAACTAAACTTTAAAAAACAAAAACATTTCCAATGAGCATGATACACTGTAGTTTGTTCTATGCTGTTACTAAGTACAGTCCATGCCGGCTTTAAGCACGGTCATCGGGAGAAAGCTTAAGCGTGCTGAAGTGCGAAGTAGACATAATCCAGAGATTTTCATGTAGAAAATTCCCCGTGCTACATGTAACTAAGTGTGTTAGGAGCGGGTGGTTGGAGGGCCCATCGGGTAAGTCCTACTTCTTTACTTTCTCTCTGTTGTTTCTGTCCATCTGTCTTACTTTTTCCCGGCAGTTGTTGACCAGTACATGTATTGTGTCGATGTGCTTCTCTTCACCCAAAGAAAAAACAAAACAACAACAACTAAAACTAAGACTTGTGGGAGATATCCAAAGATTCACTTATTATGGGTGTGTATATCAAATATAAGGCCTAGCCTATATTAATATTATAGCGCTTTTGTCGTACCAGTGTGAACTAACGGTTCGTATGATGTGAAACATTCGACTATGATGCCCTTGTTTTGTGTTTAAATTCCGAACAGGGGTATCTGAACTTTGACAGTTTGCAGCCTTTATGGTTGTTTTTATTCTAGTTATAGCCGAGATGGAACCCAATTCACTTGGTTTCACACTTGTAATCGCATACTTTATTGATTGATTTTCGGTAAATGTAGTAGCCGTAAAAAAAAAAATCATATCAATCAAAGACTCATTTTACTACGATGATATGGCCCTCAGTTAGCGAGAAAGCACAAAATGAGGTCTTTGTTAAGCCTAAGCACAGCCCTTGGAATAAACAAGTTCTTCTTCTTCTTCTTCTTCTTCTTCTTCTTCTTCTTCTTCTTCTTCTTCTTGACTACAGAGTTGATGGCCATGGTTCGAATCCCATACTTGGCGTTCTTGAACTCCGGCCATTTTGTAAAGCTTTCAATGCTCACAAACCATCCAGCTTGGTTCTGTTGGAGATGGACGTTAAGGATTCGGAGGTCCCGCCTCTTATTCTTAAAATAAAATTTAAAAAAACCAAATACTGGTGCTGTAGTTGTATTGTGTCCTCCTCCTCCTCCTCCTCCTCCTCCTCCTCCTCCTCCTCCTCCTCCTCCTCCTCCTCCTCCTTCTTTTTCTCCGGCTAGACAAGTCAAATGCTGTAGTGCAAAATCAAGCCATCATCATCATGATCAACACCTTTCTCACCCTGGATCAGGCCACAAATAAACACTTTTCATATTTCCCTATCCTGTGCTAGCCTCTTGGTGTTATTCCATGTTTTCCCACGTTTCTGTACATCAATCCCCGTGACTCTTCTCCAGGTTCCACGTGGCTTTCACCTTGATCTTTTACCCTGTGAATTCCAACCCAACACTTTTCTTGTTATGTAGCTCTGTCCCCGCGGTTTTATGCAAAACAAAGTCTGAAATTATGCAAACTGAGCCCAAAAATGTGAAATTATGTGATTCTGTTAATTTTAAAGAAAGAATAATATAGGAAAATAATCAGAAATTATGCCAAAAATGATCAAATTTTGCTAAATTACGCGGGGTGCATAAAACCACGGGGACAGGTAGCTGCCTAAATTTCTGGGAGTATGATCCAATCCATCGCTACCGCCTTCTTCCCACTTTATATGTCTGACTCTGAATGGGATATTTCTTGTTCTCCTTATAATAATAATAATAATAATAATAATAATAATAATAATAATAAAAATAATAAATAAATAGCATTTGTATAGCGCATATCCCCGCTCAACAGCAGGCTCTATGCACTTTACACTATATTATTACCCCAGCAGACCACAGAACACTCCGAAACATTCTCAGCTTCCCGGGAAGCATACCGTGCAAGCAGCTGATTAAGCGCTCAAACACTAACAAACTGACAAGATCTTTCGCTGTCTATAGTCGGGTACCCATTCCCACCTGGGTGAAGTGAGGAAAATTCGTGTAAAGTCTACTAAAGTGCCTTTCCCAAGGACACAACATCGGGCCCCTGGCGGGATTCGAACCCTCGACCTTACGGTTGCGAGTCCGAGAGCCTAGCCACTAGTATCAGTTACACTTCCTCGTTGGTGACACTGTTTGTCCCTGTCCATAATCTGATCCTTGGTAGCTTTCTCGGACACTTGTTCCCACTTTTTCTGTGACTGGGATATTTCTTGTTGAGTGTTCTCCTTAACAGTAACACTTCCTCTTTGGTGACCCTGTCTGTCCATAATCTGATCCTTGGTAACTTTCTCGGACAATTGTTCGGGCTCTGTCTTGTTCTCCTTTACACTTCCTTGTTGGTGACCCTGTATGTCCATCTGATCCGTAGTGACTTTCTCGGACACTTGTTCAAGATAACGAAAATGAGTACGGCACAGTAAATTGCTCACCTCTAGGATACCAAGCGAAATATTTTGCTGCTCTGTCATCTCAATCTTGAATTTCTGAATATGAACAGAACAAGACATACGGTGGGGAACTGATTCCAAACCATCTTATTTAATATAATTATTGTGTGCACGATGCTGTAGATCGACATTTTGTGAAAGAAAGTTCATCGTGGCTGAAACCTATTGTGTTTTATGAATGGGTTGAAACGGAGAGCTTGGGATCTCCACGTCTCTATTGACACAAAATCAAGTGTTTAAGATTTTTTTAAAAAATTAATTAAAATCACTTCTTCTGGCAGTCATAGACTGTGCATAAATTGAACGTCAGAAAATATACTCGTATTTCTGTTTTCTCATTTAATTTGTAAAACATCTTTCCTTACCGATTACGGAACCCCATTAGTTCCAGCGTCTGAGGTGTGATGAATACATGCATATATTACAATTACATTAAATGTAATTTTATGGGCTTTGCTGTTGCACGAGAAAGAGAAGACCCCCCCCCCCTTCAAAAAAACCAAAAAAACACACACACAAGAACAAACAAACAAACCCCAAACAAACACATCCCGAAAGATCGATTCTTGATTGGGATTGGGGAAGTTTATTGAATTATTTGTCGAGTTCGTATCTCTCCGTCTCAGGCCGCCTGTTAG